GCTTCGCGTTGAATTTTCGTCGATGTTAAGCCTAACGAAGACTATTGTATCGTTAAAAATTATTTTTTTATTTTGTACAAACAAAATAAATATATTGAAAAATATAAAAACAATAAAAAATTATACTTCAGATGTTAATTTAGTATTAAAAACGTAAAATATTTGAGAAGCCCGAGAAATAGCCGAAGATTGCAGCGCCACAGCACTAGCGAAAATTTAAATTTGCCGACTGGAATGCTTTCGGATAACGGACGTTTCGGATAACCAGCTTTCGGATAAACGACGCTCTACTGTAATTATAAGCTTCTTGCCTCCAATGAATTAATTATCTTAAACTTTCAATTGGTGGCAATATAGGAGACTTGCCAATACAGTTTGGTTTTATTCATATAAGGCAACACGACATGTGGACGATCTGCCAACAGGGAATGCCTCTTGGGAGGTCTTTTATGGGAAACTGGCCCCTATTTAAGTGTTACCAATGTGAAGAAAACTCAGAAAACTCCACATGGCCGGCCCATTAGCTGGTGTAAACCCACCAGTGATTACTGGTGTTTGGTGGTTTTATCCACTTTGCCACCAGTGGGCTCCAATACAGTTTAACAAGTCTTGTATATCTCCACCAGTTGAAAGTTTGAGATGACCAATTAATTAATTCTGCTTGTTTCTGAGAAATTGAACGTTAATTTAATGTAATTTAAGTACTATTAATCCAAATTTTGTATCAGAGGCAATATCCTGTTATTGGAATCTAATGTACTTTTTAAACCGATAGAAGTAACTGGTACTGTGGGAAAAATTAACTCGTCCCCGGTCTATCCAAATAACCCCAATCGATTTCTTCAAATGGCATTAAAATGTCGAAAAACATCCATTTTCGACATTAAAATGTCGAAAAACATCCATTGCGGTATTTAATATTGTGTAAAAATCATAGACCGATTTGATTTTTACACAATATTAAATACCGCAAACTCCAATTACTACAGTACACTTAACGAGATCGGTAATGGGTTTGCTCGTAAGCACTCACTCAATAAGTTTATATAGGAATATAATTCCTGTACAATTACCGTACAATGATTAGAATGAACACAACACCACCAAAATAAATGTAAACAGGCAGTTGGGTGGTTGAGCGGTGAAAGGTAACAAACTACCACTTCGAGAGACCCAGGATCAAATCTGGACGGGTCAAAACACCCCAGGAATTTTCTGGAAAAGTGGTTCGTCCAGATATGGATACTTCAGGTCCCGGTCATCCCGTAATGGGCTTGCTACAAAAAGTCCTCTTGGCACCCAGAGGACAGAAATAGTTTCATTTTTCATTTCAAGAGTCACCCTTACTTCCACTTCCGTTGCTCCACTTTGAATTTTTCACAAATGCCCTTTGAAGAAATTCGTATTAGCGGGGTTATTTGATTCGGATATCGTGATTTTTGGCAGATGGTATTCGGATACCAGGATACGGCCATATTTGTTTCCGATTGGTTAAAAATAAATTGTTATTTTATTTTGTACAGAGTGACGGCCTGGAACACACCAGAATGCTGGCCAAGAAGCATTGCGACGAAGCCCTGAAACATATATCGGTATTGAGCGAGTGTCCAGAGAAACGGGCCCTACTGACGGTGGCCGAAAAAGTACTGTATCGGACCAAGTGACCGAAATGTGCGCGCACACGGTATGGATCTTTCATGTCACAACCGCCATTCCGCTAAAGACGTCTACTAAACATTCCGATAAGATGCGTCCATTTTTGTACATTTTATCCATTTTATGAACATATATATATATATATATTTTACCAGTGCGATTTAAATTAAGATTATTTTCTTATACGAAATAGTCGAATCTCCCTTTCTTGTACATGATTATCGTTTTCTTTAATATTACATCTTGAGCATTCTGGCGAGCTCGGTACGAAAAAGGTTACAGATCGGAATAATTCATTAACGAATTAACACTCGTTCCAAAAAAAAAATCAATTACTAATTAATGTAACCATCATTAAAAACCGAACGACCTTCGTCACTTCTCGTTCTCCCAGCTGAAAGAAAATAGGAAAAAAAGAAATGTGGGATCGGCAATTACACCACTCGCCATCGGCTTCTTCTACTTTCCACAAATAAATAAAATAAATGGAAGAACGAGGACGAGCGCCATCGCCCCTACCGATGGCTGCCGGAAAGAGTACTCAGGAAGTTTAACCAAATCATTTATTTTGTATACATTTTGGAATAAAATCTGAAAGTATTTTTGTAAAATTAGATGCGGTTGGTCTCTCTCCTGTCAGATTTTCTGCATTCTCGTGGTAATTTCGTTGGATGAAGGCCGGTTCGTACTTGGCCAGAATGGAAAAGGAGAGATAAAAACGACATTAAATCGACTTGATGCATTGTTTCTGACACTCCCTTTCTCTTTTAGTTCGTGGGGAGTAGAAGAAAGTTCTACTTTGTTTTGTGTCCGTCTATTGAGTAATCCCCTCGCAATTCGTGCCCCAATATACAGGTAACCCCCCGTATTAACACGGGAGTTACGTTCCAAAAAATTGCCGTGTTATACGAAACAAAGAACTACAGTCGATCCCCCTATAAGATCATTGATTTTTCCGTTTTATCTGAATTACATGTTGTACGAGTCACTTAGATTTTACAAATATGTGAGCCATTCACAGCCCGGCACACATATTTGTAAAATCTAAGTGACTCGTACAACATGTAATTCAGATAAAACGGAAAAATCAATGATCTTATAGGGGGATCGACTGTAGTTCTTTGTTTCGTATAACACGGCAATTTTTTGGAACGTAACTCCCGTGTTAATACGGGGGGTTACCTGTATATTGGGGCACGAATTGCGAGGGGATTACTCAATAGACGGACACAAAACAAAGTAGAACTTTCTTCTACTCCCCACGAACTAAAAGAGAAAGGGAGTGTCAGAAACAATGCATCAAGTCGATTTAATGTCGTTTTTATCTCTCCTTTTCCATTCTGGCCAAGTACGAACCGGCCTTCATCCAACGAAATTACCCCGAGAATGCAGAAAATCTGACAGGAGAGAGACCAACCGCATCTAATTTTACAAAAATACTTTCAGATTTTATTCCAAAATGTATACAAAATAAATGATTTGGTTAAACTTCCTGAGTACTCTTTCCGGCAGCCATCGGTAGGGGCGATGGCGCTCGTCCTCGTTCTTCCATTTATTTTATTTATTTGTGGAAAGTAGAAGAAGCCGATGGCGAGTGGTGTAATTGCCGATCCCACATTTCTTTTTTTCCTATTTTCTTTCAGCTGGGAGAACGAGAAGTGACGAAGGTCGTTCGGTTTTTAATGATGGTTACATTAATTAGTAATTGATTTTTTTTTTGGAACGAGTGTTAATTCGTTAATGAATTATTCCGATCTGTAACCTTTTTCGTACCGAGCTCGCCAGAATGCTCAAGATGTAATATTAAAGAAAACGATAATCATGTACAAGAAAGGGAGATTCGACTATTTCGTATAAGAAAATAATCTTAATTTAAATCGCACTGGTAAAATATATATATATATATATGTTCATAAAATGGATAAAATGTACAAAAATGGACGCATCTTATCGGAATGTTTAGTAGACGTCTTTAGCGGAATGGCGGTTGTGACATGAAAGATCCATACCGTGTGCGCGCACATTTCGGTCACTTGGTCCGATACAGTACTTTTTCGGCCACCGTCAGTAGGGCCCGTTTCTCTGGACACTCGCTCAATACCGATATATGTTTCAGGGCTTCGTCGCAATGCTTCTTGGCCAGCATTCTGGTGTGTTCCAGGCCGTCACTCTGTACAAAATAAAATAACAATTTATTTTTAACCAATCGGAAACAAATATGGCCGTATCCTGGTATCCGAATACCATCTGCCAAAAATCACGATATCCGAATCAAATAACCCCGCTAATACGAATTTCTTCAAAGGGCATTTGTGAAAAATTCAAAGTGGAGCAACGGAAGTGGAAGTAAGGGTGACTCTTGAAATGAAAAATGAAACTATTTCTGTCCTCTGGGTGCCAAGAGGACTTTTTGTAGCAAGCCCATTACGGGATGACCGGGACCTGAAGTATCCATATCTGGACGAACCACTTTTCCAGAAAATTCCTGGGGTGTTTTGACCCGTCCAGATTTGATCCTGGGTCTCTCGAAGTGGTAGTTTGTTACCTTTCACCGCTCAACCACCCAACTGCCTGTTTACATTTATTTTGGTGGTGTTGTGTTCATTCTAATCATTGTACGGTAATTGTACAGGAATTATATTCCTATATAAACTTATTGAGTGAGTGCTTACGAGCAAACCCATTACCGATCTCGTTAAGTGTACTGTAGTAATTGGAGTTTGCGGTATTTAATATTGTGTAAAAATCAAATCGGTCTATGATTTTTACACAATATTAAATACCGCAATGGATGTTTTTCGACATTTTAATGTCGAAAATGGATGTTTTTCGACATTTTAATGCCATTTGAAGAAATCGATTGGGGTTATTTGGATAGACCGGGGACGAGTTAATTTTTCCCACAGTACCAGTTACTTCTATCGGTTTAAAAAGTACATTAGATTCCAATAACAGGATATTGCCTCTGATACAAAATTTGGATTAATAGTACTTAAATTACATTAAATTAACGTTCAATTTCTCAGAAACAAGCAGAATTAATTAATTGGTCATCTCAAACTTTCAACTGGTGGAGATATACAAGACTTGTTAAACTGTATTGGAGCCCACTGGTGGCAAAGTGGATAAAACCACCAAACACCAGTAATCACTGGTGGGTTTACACCAGCTAATGGGCCGGCCATGTGGAGTTTTCTGAGTTTTCTTCACATTGGTAACACTTAAATAGGGGCCAGTTTCCCATAAAAGACCTCCCAAGAGGCATTCCCTGTTGGCAGATCGTCCACATGTCGTGTTGCCTTATATGAATAAAACCAAACTGTATTGGCAAGTCTCCTATATTGCCACCAATTGAAAGTTTAAGATAATTAATTCATTGGAGGCAAGAAGCTTATAATTACAGTAGAGCGTCGTTTATCCGAAAGCTGGTTATCCGAAACGTCCGTTATCCGAAAGCATTCCAGTCGGCAAATTTAAATTTTCGCTAGTGCTGTGGCGCTGCAATCTTCGGCTATTTCTCGGGCTTCACAAATATTNTAATTACCAAAATTTAACAGCGTCAATTTCCCTAATAAACTTCTCTGTAAAAATCAGAAATTTTCGACAAAAAGCACGAGTTATTTAGCTCCAAACAGGGTGAAGAAAATCGTGCTCCCACACTAATATCCACACATACAGAAATTATTCCCGAAATTTTGCATTTCTCAACGTTTCTGGTGTCCTATGCACAAAAATGTAAACATCTTGGGGGGGGGTCATTTTTGGCCAATGGCTATTATTTTCCCAGCTGTTATATGTAACAGATAGAAAGTAAAAATGGTAAATTTTATATTCTCGAAGGGAAAATTGGGGTGTATATTTTTTAAATGTAACTTATTATTGTTAAAACAGCAGTGGCGTGCCGTCATTGGAAGCAGCGGATGCGCCGCTTCCCTTGTATTTTCTAAAAAATAAATACATATTAATTTTAATTATATGAAAATAATCGCACAATATTTTATTATAACCGCATTATGTATCTTATTACAAATTTCTATACTACACGTGAAAAAAAGATAAGATCGCTATTGTATATTCGAATATTAGTGGCGGGGTGGAAGCGCCGTATTGTCAACATCCAAAAAGCCAGATTCGCTCGTGCGCTTTACACAGCACCAACCTCACCCGGTTTAGCGGTGGAAGCCTACGACCTTGGGCGGATGCTACACATATACCGCATCCAATTCTATCCAGGACCGGTTCTGTGCCGTTAGCCGCCCGCCCGCTAGATATTTGGCCGCCCTCGCCCGATTACGTGAATAACGAGTAGATTTATAACTTAACCCAACCGATAAGAATTTACTGGCATTTTTTTTATGATAGATCTGTATAGTCGACAGGAGTTTAAAAAAATCCATTAAAATATTTGATATTTTTATTCCGTCCTCCGACTTTATATTACTCACGGATTTTAATGTTAAACCAGTGATATTACGATTTCGTATATCCCATCTTTAAGGGGATGTAGAAAAAAACGTGTACAATTCTTGTATAATGTTAAAAAATTAACTGTTACTTTGACAGCATCATTTACAACTAAATTTAATGAATGAGAGAGATGCAC